TGCGGAAATGGCACGCGAGAGCGCCATATTATGAGGAAGTATCAAGCTGGAACCGTAGTTGTTGTAGACTTGGGGCCAACAGCACAATTCTGAGAACCAACACGCCCTGGAAATTATCCTGGCGAAGGACCCAACCATATGCAAACGTGAATACCGCACGGCAAGTGGGACGAAACAGGAGGAATTCTCTATGGGGCCACGATCCTCGTGAATGGTGTGCCGAAATGGCCCGAGGCCGCCATGCGAACGCTGCCACGGACGCCTTCGGTGGAGCTCCCTTATGGGGCCACGATCCTCGTGAGGGGTGTGCCGAAATGGGGCGGGGCCGCCATGCGAACGCTGCCACTGGGGCCTTCGGTGGAGCTCCCTATGGGGCCACGATCCTCGTGAGGGGTGTGCCGAAATGGGGCGGGGCCGCCATGCGAACGCGGGGCCGCCATGCGAACGCTGCCACTGGCGCCTTCGGTGGAGCTCCCTATGGAACTGCGAACCGTGCGAGGTGTGTGCCGCAATGGGGCGGGGCCGCCATGCGAACGCTGCCACTGGGGCCTTCGTTGGAGCTCCTATGGGGCCACGATCATCGTGAGGGGTGTGCCGAAATGGCCCGAGGCCGCCATGCGAACGCTGCCACTGGGGCCTTCGGTAGAGCTGCGTATGGGGCCACGAGCCGTGTGAGGGGTGCGCCAAAATGGGGCGGGGCCGCCATGCGAACGCTGCCACTGGGGCCTCGGTGGAGCTCCCTACGGGGCCACCATCCTCGTGAGGGGTGCGCCAAAATGGGGCGGGGCCACCATGCGAACGCTGCCACTGAGGCCTCCGGTGGAGATCCCTCCCTATGGGGCCACGATCCTCGTGAGGGGTGTGCCGAAGTGGGGCGGGACCGCCATGCGAACGCTGCCACTGGGGCCTTCGGTGGAGCTCCCTATGGGGCCACGATCCTCGTGAGGGGTGTGCCGAAATGGGGCGGGGCCGCCATGCGAACGCTGCCACTGGGGCCTTCGGTGGAGCTCCCTATGGGGCCACGATCCTCGTGAGGGGTGTGCCGAAATGGGGCGGGGCCGCCATGCGAACGCTGCCACTGGGGCCTTCGTTGGAGGTCCCTATGGGGCCACGATCATCGTGAAGGGTGTGCCGAAATGGCCCGAGGCCGCCATGCGAACGCTGCCACTGGGGCCTTCGGTGGAGCTCCCTATGGGGCCACGAAACGCTGTACTGGGTGGGTGAAACGCAGGGAGGAGGGGGGAGGAGGGGGAGGAGGAGGAGAGCAGAGGAGGAGGAAGAGGAACGCGGGGCGAAGTCTCTTCAAAACGAAAACCCACCACCACAGGATAGTTGGGAAAAAAATATCCTGGCGAAGGACCCAACCATATGCAGTTGTGAATACCGCAATTGTGAATACCATCTTCGCCCGCGCTCCATGTGGCCACGGCTTCCCGCCGGAGCCCGACATGCTCAGGGACACGTTCGTGGCCGTCTTCGCGGGCGCCGACGACGACAAGGACGGCGTCCCTCTCACCGAGGAGCAGAAGCAGGAAAGGGCCTTGAGAGCCATGAGGGAGGAGATAGCGCTGCACGTCGCCAAGGCGGAGTACGACGCCCAGGCGCGGTTGCTGAAGCAGCACAACTATGGGGCCACGATCCTCGTGAGGGGTGTGCCGAAATGGCCCGAGGCCGCCATGCGAACCCTGCCACTGGCGCCTTCGGTGGAGCTCCCTATGGGGCCACGATCCTCGTGAGGGGTGTGCCGAAATGGCCCGAGGCCGCCATGCGAACCCTGCCACTGGCGCCTTCGGTGGAGCTCCCTATGGGGCCACGGTCCTCGTGAGGGGTGTGCCGAAATGGCCCGAGGCCGCCATGCGAACCCTGCCACTGGGGCCTTCGGTGGAGCTCCCTATGGGGCCACGATCCTCGTGAGGGGTGTGCCGAAATGGCCCGAGGCCGCCATGCGAACCCTGCCACTGGGGGCCTTCGGTGGAGCTCCCTATGGGGCCACGATCCTCCGAAATGGCCCGAGGCCGCCATGCGAACCCTGCCACTGGGCCTTCGGTGGAGCTCCCTATGGGGCCACGATCCTCGTGAGGGGTGTGCCGAAATGGCCCGAGGCCGCCATGCGAACCCTGCCACTGGCGCCTTCGGTGGAGCTCCCTATGGGGCCACGATCCTCGTGAGGGGTGTGCCGAAATGGCCCGAGGCCGCCATGCGAACCCTGCCACTGGCGCCTTCGGTGGAGCTCCCTATGGGGCCACGATCCTCGTGAGGGGTGTGCCGAAATGTGCCCGAGGCCGCCATGCGAACCCTGCCACTGGCGCCTTCGGTGGAGCTCCCTATGGGGCCACGATCCTCGTGAGGGGTGTGCCGAAATGGCCCGAGGCCGCCATGCGAACCCTGCCACTGGCGCCTTCGGTGGAGCTCCCTATGGGGCCACGATCCTCGTGAGGGGTGTGCCGAAATGGCCCGAGGCCGCCATGCGAACCCTGCCACTGGAGCCTTCGGTGGAGCTCCCTATGGGGCCACGATCCTCGTGAGGGGTGTGCCGAAATGGCCCGAGGCCGCCATGCGAACCCTGCCACTGGGGCCTTCGGTGGAGCTCCCTATGGGGCTACGAAACGCTGTGCTGGGTGGGTGAAACGCAACGAGGCGGGGGAGGAGGAGAGGAGGAGAGGAGACGCGGGCCACCGTCTCTTCAAAACGAGGACCCAACACCACAGGATGGTTGGGAAAAAGGTGCGACCCCTCACAAGGGCACTTCAATTGAAAAAAATGTGCCTCGGAGGGAGGGATAAACAACAAGAAAATTCAAAAACATCAGCAGCAGCAACAACAACAACCACAACTATGATTGCAAGACTGTTCGCTCATACCTGCCCGCGTGCCAGTCAACACGTTAGTCCAAAACGTCGATACCCGCCCTCTTCGTCTTCGATCGTACCCCACTTGAAGGTATATCTTTCTCACCTGCAACGCGTATTCCGTGCAGCCTCGAAAGCAGGGGGAGACAGGACGGATGGAAGGAAGGGACAAGGGGGAGGGAGGAGGATGGAGCACGAGAGAGAGTAGCAGAAGGGGGGCCCGGAGCAGAAAACACGTGGCAGAACCAGACGGGCAGATCGGGCGGACAGGCCCTAACGTAACGGGCGAGGGAAGGCGGGCCCAGGCGGCCAGGTCGAGCAGGCGGGTTGCTGAAGCGTGCGTCCTGCATGAAGCGCAAGGAAGTCTCGAGCGACAGCGCGATTCCCAAATAAATCGTGAGGAAATCCAACACGAGAAAATGATTCCTGAGTGTCGAGGGCGCGGCGTCTGAAGAAATTGCGAAGATGTCCCACTCGAGAGCACGATTCCGGTATACATTGTGAGAAAGTCCCGCGCGAAAGCGCGATTTTCACCTAAACTGCGAGGAGGTATCAGGGTGCCAGGGGCACAGTTTGGTAACATGTTCCCTTGTACAAAGCCAGGTACGAGCCCTGGGAGAAGCATCTTAATCTAAAAATGCAACGGCTACCGCGCAGGGATGATCAGAAATACCTACTCTTAAGAAATGAAATTTCAACAACCACACCAACAGCAGCAGCAGCAACAACAACACCAACACCAACACCACCAACAACAACAACAACAACAATCATTTTAAGAATGTTCGCCCTTATCTGCTCGAGTGTCAAATAAAGCGTATTTCCCAAACCCTCGACACCCGCCCTCTTCGTCTTCGATCGAACCCCTTTTGGGGGGTAGACCTTTCTTCCCTGCAGGCCGGGCCCCGGCAAGCGGCGGGGCGGCCGCAGACCGTCGGCCTGGCCAGCGGCAGCGCTGATCGGCGGGGCGGCCGCGGACCGTCGACCCGGCCCCAAGAGGGACGGACAGGGGACCGACCACGACGACGACGACGAAGACGAAGACGACGTCGACGACAACAGCGACGACGACGACGACGGCGACGACGACGAGCGAAAAATAACGACAGCCGGGCCACGACGGACACGAAGTAGGCCACGAAGGGCGACAGCGGGGACACAAAGGGAACGCGTATGGGGCCACGAAGAGCGCGAACGAGCGGGGGCCACGAAGGGCAGATAATGCGGGGCCACAGAAGGAAACGATGGGGCCACTGAGGATAGCAACTGGGCCACGTAGGACAGTGAGCGGGCCACAAACGGCGACAGCGGGGCCACGAAGGGCACGCACATGGGGCCACAACGGGCGCGAACGAGCGGGGGCCACAAAAGGCATACGTATGTTGGGCCGCGGAGGGCAAGGACGGGGCCGCTGAGGACAGCAAGGGGGCCACGAAGGGCAGCGAGGGGGCCACGAAGGGCTGCAACGGGGCCACGAAGGGCATGCATCACAATAATCTGGGCAACGGGATCCCACGTCAGCCGCGCGCCTGGGGACAATGCACGACCGATCGACCCACTCACTTTGGCATACGGATCTGCCCATCATGTGAGGCCGTCCAGAGCGGAGGCGTTTCCCCCTTCCCGCGCTCGCCAGGCGACCTGGAGAGTGGCCCCGGGAGGGCCCCGAGGGCCTCCAAGAAGAGATCCAAGAGAGACCCACAAGGGCCCCAGGGGCTGCCCCAGGGGCCCCAAAGCTAGACATTGTTGGGGGCAGATCGGGCTGACACCAGCTTCCAATTTGACTGGTGCCCCCACTCTGTGTATTGCGAACGCCCGTCCACGTTCATTCTCAAGACAGCTCGCCCACGAATCGTTCCCCGATGGGTAGAAAGGGATACGCTACGAGTGCAGAATTGTTCCAAGAGGAGACAAGCATTATGACATTCTTCAGAAGACTCACCCATGACCCAGACGAGTCCCCACAGACCCCCTATGTTCCACAGATGCAGTCACAGAAAATCCCCTAACTACCTACACACACAAGCATCTCACGACATCTCGCGCGGACCTCGCCCAGAATACTCTCCCATGAGGCATCAAGATATGCCATGACATACCACGAATCCACAAAGTGGTCAGTGGTCGGCGGACGCGTCAACCTGATGAATCGTAAGAAATGAACGCGGGATTGTGGTTCTGATGATTCGCATACACGTTCTCGTTATTGAAGACTACATCTATTGATAAGTATGGCAGCCAAGTGACAAGCGTATTGTCTTTAGAGTCTTTCTTGTCAAACTTGAGCATGGATGGGTCTGGAGACATTGGCAGCTTCATTGCCCGACTAGCAGCGTTCCCATCTGGTTCTGGTCTTCTGTCCTGCTTGTTCTTGCCTGACTTGGCCTTGCTCTTGGGCCAGGGTTTGCGGCCGACCATGGGCAAAGCCTCCATCTCGTCTGCGGAGAGCACCTTGTCACCGACCTCGCTATTGCAGAACACCTGCTTGATCGCATCCTCCTGCAGTCCAACCTCCTGCCGTGCGAGATCCTCTGCCTTCTGGCTGTTGGGTTTTTTGCTATGCTTTCTCGGCTCTTGGGATGCACCACGGCTCGCTTGCGAACCCTTCCATCTCCGTGGCAGGTGAAAACGCTGCCGCATACACGGCTCCCAGAAAGTCCGCCACCGCGCTTAGAGCGGCTGGCGTGCATTGGGATCTTCGGCCTCGTGCGAAGCAATAATTAGAGCCCCGACGCATTCTCAGCCCAAGATGCGTTTATGCTTGTGGCCAAGTCCCTGCGTGTCTGGGCTCGCAGGCATGAGATAATCCAAAGTACAAAGCTTGCGTAAGGGGGTTCCAGGGACCCTCCCCTCGTTAAAGACTTAACGACTTCTACCGTCCTTCGACTCGCGCTGGAGCGGCCGCGAGTTGCTCCAACGTTCCCTGCAGATCTCTGGATTTACCTGGATTTACCCGGATTGATGTCTAGGTGCATCCTCGAATCATCTGCACTTACCTGGATTTATCTGGAAGGATCCCCACAAGTCCATTGGCGAAAAGTCGGCAAGCCCTTAGGGATCCCCCCTCCCTCCTCCCTCCCCCCAAGGCGCTCCCCCGCGCCCGCCCGAGCGCGGTGGCGGCATCGTCCGGCAGCACAACTGGATGACCCACCCCTCGGGCTCGCGAGTCATCACCCAAACGTGCTCCATGTACTGTGAGGCGTGTTGCCCCCGCTCCGGATTATTATCGATGTCGTCCTGGTCCCTCCTTATCAAGCCCTTACAGACGTACGCATCCTTCTTGCAGCCCAACAGCAGCGAGCAGAGCAGAACGGCGTGGTCCCAGATTGTGCCCTTCATCTTCGCCAACACGAGGTCGGAATCGTGCCAAGAGCTCTCACTTATACGCCCAGTTTTCAGGTGCCTCAGATCTCCCTCGAATCCGAGGGTACTTATCAAATGCATCAGTCTGGTCGGCAAGCCTTCGTCTTGCGGAATGATGATCTTACACAGGAGGCTGGCGAGTGGAATCTTCCTTACAGGGTTCACGGGGTGCTGGGAGATGCACGAGAAGATCCTGAATTCCGTTTTGCTACCGCTTGCGTGTTCGGCGCTGGGCTCGAATGATCCGATCGCATCGGGGAAATGAGCACTGTACCTGTAGGTCCACCGCTTCTGCTCTGCCTCCCAGTCCATAAGCTTCGCCAGCCAAGGATCGCCCGCGTCCTCGTCCTCGTCGGCCTTTGGCGCCAAGATGGTCGAAGGGAAATCTGGGTAGAAATATGCTTCGAAGAACACCAATGCTGCCTGGTCATTTCGCAAAGAAACTTTGTCTAGCGGAGTCTTGTCGCCCACGTAGACGCGGGTGCTCAACTCCTTCTCATACCACCGCAACTTGGATTCCGCAAACTCCGCTCCGTCGCCCCTGTCCACGCGCTCCCCTTCCTCCTCCGCCTCCTCAGTTTTGCCTTTCCCGAGAAGCGACCTCGGTCTCTTCCCTGAGCCCAAAATGTGCGACATTGGGATTGAGGCCCGGCCCAGCAGCTCATTGGACGTGTCGTCCTCGTCGAACACCTCTATTCTGAGCTCTTTGACGTCGCTGGACAACTCGCAATCGTACAGCTTTCTGTTCAGATCCGTATTTTTGGCCGTCCCCTGCAGCTTCAACGAGAACCGGGCTGGAAAATATGCGCGGAAATTGAAGACAGGTTTCAAGGTTTTGTTCATCGGTGCCGAGACCTGCGTCACATTGTCCCAAGTAAGCCTCAGAAATGGATCCGATGAGCCATCCGCGTCGGCCGCTGGAAGTCCTTGGCACTTGGATATTTGGACAACCAGATACCTTTGATGTTGGCTCAGATGACTGACTGTCGATGAGGATATCGGTTGCATGGGCCGTTCTGTCAAGAGGTCGCGTTCAGGTTCGAGACCAACAGACTGAAGCTCCACCTTCACGTAGCCACTTAGTTGACCGACAACGTACTTGTCACGAATCTCTTCGAGGGCATCATCGATCTTAACTGATCTGTCGCTCTTCAACGCCACCGTGAAGACAGGGATCTCTAAGACTGACACAAAGTTCATCAAGCAATTACCAACAATTTCACGCACTTTGAGCGCCGACGAGGAAGCCCGATAAACAATCGCTACGAAATCCGTTCTGGACAAGAGAGGGGAGCGAAATACCGCAGCGTGATACGGTCAAGAGACGCACCAGCTATATTATATGCGGAGCAGTCCATGTGGTGAAATCCATGTCGTCCTACAGATGAGGTGCATACTAAGCGGTGTAATATATGTGGTGCGATCTACGTGGTGCAACATGTGTTGAGCAATCTGCGACGTGCGATCTATGTCGTGCAACATATATGGTGCAATCGATGCGGTGCAATATACCGTGTGCGATATATGGTGCAATCGATGTGGACGTACATACACTCATACATACATACATACATACATACATACATACATACATACATACATACATACATACATACATACATACATACATACATACACGTGGTACGATCTATGTGGCACAATATATGTGGTGATATGTGTATGAACAACTATATATCTATATATATTCCCCAATCAGTGCTTGCCCTGAAGGGGCCCAAGCAAATCTTGAAGGACTTGGCGAAAGAGGGCGGCCGAGTTCGGTAGGCCGCCGAATTCCCCGGTTCCTGGTTCCAGGTTCCCGGATTCCCGGTTCCGGGTTCGGGCCCGATTTCGCTGGGCGGCCAGGTTCCCAGGTTTCCGGGTTCCTGGGTTCCTGGTCGATCTCCTTATCGATCGGTCTCACCATCGATTTCATTACCCACCTCAATCGATCTCACGATCGATCATGATACCAGGGAGTTCCCAATCAATGGATGGTTTGAAAACAAATAAGTTGAACCGTGGAATCGACTCTAGGATCGATAGTGGAATCGAAAAGGAGATCGATGGTGAGGACGAAGGTACGGCCGATCATGGGACAGATAGTGATGTCGATGCAGTGGGATCGAAAGTGAGATCGATCGTGAATTCGCTCGTGCAATCTATAATGAGGTCGATTGTGAGATCGATGGTCAGATCGATTGTAAGATTGGTAATGAAATCGATAGAACGATGGGTAATGAGATCGATGGTGAGACCAATCGATAAGGAGATCGACAAAGAACCCTGGCACTCGGAAACATTGGAATTTGGCCGCCCAGCGAAATCGGCCCCGAACCCGGAACCGGAAACCCGGGAACCCAGCGGCCTACCGAAATTGGCTAGGACCTCTGCAGTGTTAGCTAGCATTGTATGGGGAACAATGGATATGACTATCGATTTCACAAACGATAGATATAACTATAGATCGCACGTGCGATCTCACGATCGATCTGAATATCGGTATCACTGAATCGATTTCACCATCGGTCTTCTGATCGGCTTTACTACCCTCCTCACGATCGATCCCACGTTCGATTCCCCATCAATCCTACAATCGATCTAAAGATCCAGCTCGCTAATTATCAAGCCATCCATTGTGGGGTTTGCCGTGGTGCAATATATACATATACTTATATATATACATATATATAAATATGTATGTATATATCCCGTGGTGTGATATATATATATATATATATATACGCGTGCGCGTGTGGGTGGTGCAATCGATGCGGTGAATTATTTACGGCGCTATTTATGTATGGAATTATATATATACATATATAAACATATGTGATCCATGTTATTCGGTCTACATTGTGCGACCTATTTGATGCGGTCGGCGTTGCGCAATACATGCGTTGTTATCTATGTGGTGTTATCTACGTGGTGCCATATATATATATATATATATATACACGGCGCAACGCACGCGCTGCGATATAAGCTGTGATACATACATAAATATATATAAACAATATATATATATATATATATATATATATATATATATGCACATACATACATACATACATACATACACATCTACATGTACATGCATACATATTCTTACACACACTAAAACCACGCACGCTACGCGCGCGCTTAAGTCCCTGTGGCAGATGAGCCACGGGTGCCGCTGTAAGCCCCGCTGCGGCAGCAACGACGATTTCCAGCGTTCTGGGGCCCATGAAGACGCAAAACGCGTAGTCAGAACGCGGGGCGCCACGTTCCCGAGAACCTCATAATTTCGCAGCCGCCTTTGTTTGGTTCATCGAACTGCGCTTGTTTCTCCTGCCCCGTCGTAAAACGCAATGTTTTTGCGCATCTGTTCGGTCTCCCCATGCCCGATCACGCGGACATCCAGCGGCTCATGATGTTGGGGTTGACTCGGGGCCTCGTTGCGCGCGCGTGGGAGCGCACTGTTGTTGTTTATCTTCCCTGTGCTCCAGGCTTCTCGTTCTCAGCGGTCGTTCAGCTGTCGCGTATCTGCATAGGGCGCGCGCAAGTGTCCCGGTCATCAGCGCCCTTTTCTGCAATCAGCTGTTATCGAGTCCGTCCACGGGAGTGGGGATGCTTCTTTGTGCTGAACGCCAAACCTCATGCTGGCGATAATCGCAACCGAGGAATCAGAAGGTTCGGGTTCACGGGGGATGCTCAACGATTTGCCTGGCAAGTCCCATGTATGAGGACGCATGGAGTTATGACGGGGCCTCTGGCGGTACCTTCTTGGCGCTCCAGTGAAGCCTTTCAGGAAGTGGGGGAGGGGCACGAAGCCTGAGAAATTGTATAATATAGCCACACCCCGCTCGCTCGGGCGGGTCCGCCCTGGAAGGGTGGGAGGAGCAAGAACCACGTGAAAGCATATGGTGCAGGGATGCCCTGCTCTCTGGCGGGGCTTTCCCTGGCGTTTTGGCGGGGCTTGCCCAGGAGGGGAGGGAGGAGCACGAAACCTGAGGAAATTATGGTATAGCCACACCCCGTGCGCTCTGACGGGGCTACCTCGGGTGGGGACTGTAGATGGTATTGCGACACCTCTCTCGCTCTGCCGGGGCCGCCCTTGAGGGGTGGGAGGGGCAGAGCACCTTGTGAAATGATAGGGTATAACGATGCCCCGCTCGCTCTGGCGGGGCCTGTCTGGCGCCCTGGCGGAGCCGTCCTCGGAGAGGAGAGAGGAGCACGAAAGCCGAGGGTGAGGGGAAGAAGAGGGGAGAGAGGAGGGAGGAATAGAGGCAAGGGAGGGGGCATGAGAGAAGGAGGGACGGCGGGCGGAGGCCAGGGCCACCTGGGCCGTCTTCGAGCGCCCTGGGGCCTCCCGATCCCGCTCTGAGGCCCCTCTCGGGCCTGTCCTGGGATTCTCTTGGGCCGTCTGGGGCTCCTCCTGGGTAGTCTTCGGGCTCCCTGGGGCCGTCTCGGGGCTCCTTTTGGGGGCCTCCTTGGCGGCCTTTGGGGCGGTCTGCGGGGCGTCTTCGGCCGTCCTGGAGCGCTGGGAGCTCGAGAACGCGAGAA